CCATTTGGGGCTGTGCATGCATGCATGCATGCATATACATATGCATGCATGTTGGGGCTGTGTGTGTGTGCATGCATGCATGCATGCAGACACGGGTACAAGAGCGGGGGCATGCAGCAGCTGCTGCGGTTTGACGTCGACCCAGCAGTGGGCCGAGACCTCGCCCTGCATCAGTGCATTGCCTTTCAGGCCGTCAGGAGAGTATGCTGCTGCTGCTGCTGCTGCTGCTGCTGCTGCTGCTGCTGCTGCTGTTGCTGCTGTTGCTGGTGCTGGTGCTGCTGTTGCTGCTGCTGCTGCTGCTGCTGGTGCTGCTGCTGCTGGTGCTGGTGCTGGTGCTGCTGCTGGTTGTGGTGGTGGTGGTGGTGGTGGTGGTGCTGCTGCTGCTGCTGTTGTTGTTGTTGTTGGTGCTGCTGTTGCTCTTGTTGCTGCTGCTGTTCCACCTGTTGCTGTTGCTGTTGCTGCTGCTGCTTCTGCTCTCGTTGCTGCCGCTGCTGCTGCTGCTGCTGCTGCTGCTGCTGCTGCTGCTGCTGCTGCTGCTGCTGCTGCATGCATGCAGTGTGTGTGTTGCTGCATGCGCACCAGGCTCGCGTGGGTCGGTCTACGTTGGAGGCCTGGCACAACACTGGCGACATCCAGGCACTCAGACAAACTGTACAGGAATTCCTAGAGTGTAAGCTAGATAGCTAGCTAGCTAGCTAGCTGGAGTAGCTAGCTAGCTAGCTGTAGTAGCTAGCTAGCTAGCTAGCTAGCTGTAGTAGCTAGCTAGCTAGCTAGCTAGCTGGAGTAGCTAGCTAGCTAGCTAGCTAGCTAGCTAGCTAGCTAGCTAGCTGGAGTAGCTAGGTAGCTAGCTGTAGTAGCTAGCTAGCTGTAGTAGCTAGCTAGCTGTAGTAGCTAGCTAGCTAGCTAGCTAGCTGTTTGCACATGGCTAGCCAGATAGATAGCCAACCAGATAAGCAGCTAGCTCGCCAGATAGATAAACTGGTTGCTATCCAGCTAGCTATTCACCTAGCTATGCAGGTAGCTAGCTAGACAGCTAGCTAGCTAGCTAGCTAGATCAATGGCTAGCTGGCTAGCTAGCTAGCTAGCCAGCTAGCCACCCAGCTAGCCATGGATCTAGCCACCGAGATAGCTAGCTAGCCAAAAGAGCTAGCTATGCTTCGCCCGTGTCTGAACTGTGCCATCCTATTAGCAGCAACCTTATGCATATCATATGCCACTCTTGGGGCTGCATGCATGCATGCATGCATGCATGCATGCATGC